CTACATAAAAAAAATTAAAAACAATATGAAAAATGAAGTTTTAAAAGTAACATACAATCCAAGAGATATAGGAATTGTTGCTAAGTTTTAAGCCTTTACTTATTACTTTTTACCAAGATACCATGTTCAGCTACAGACTACACTTTGATAAGTTATAATAAGTTTTGTTAGGAAATAATCAGTTTGATCCAGAAATCCTTTAATTAAATAGAAAAATACATACAAATAAATACATCACATTTTATAACTATAATTTATTAAACAAAATATTTACTATCTGAATTTGATAGCCGGCAACAACTTACGCAAACTATACACAGTGATTACATAAGCAAATGAATTGCTACAATAAATACTTACTAGTAATTTCCAACATATAATTTACTTACTTACATGATTGCTTTTAGAAAACGTATTGCAATTATTATTACACAAATATAACCACATAAATAGAAACTAATCAATAAATTAAATTATTTTTGTGTAAAACATGTAGATTTATTTACATAACATCAAAATATACACAGAATATTTTTATTCTAATAAAAACTGAAACTAAATCATTTAAACATAGTTTTGGTTATTTTTGGTGAAGTGTTATTGTTTTTATCTATTGGCTTAAAGCACATGAGGAAAGAAAAAAGATCAGAGGCATATACTACATACAAATTACAACCGCGCTATGATAGGTACACTACTACAAGGTACAAGCTTGAAGCGCGTGAATTGAATGCGTGACCACCGGCAGCTCATCACGTACAGAGAAAAACTGCTTTAGCCGGCTCGACCAGTGCTGAAATTCAGAGTGTACACGTCGCGCATCGTGCTTGTTTTCATTTCACTTTTGATTTAAAAATAACAAATGAGTGGAGAATAAGTGTCATGTAAAATATAAAAAAGTGTAAATATATACTGTACTATGTGTGTGAACAATACTAATAGGTTTGTAAAGTTATTTCGTTCTTCCCAATACAGGACTTATATATTTCGATAGCTGATACAGCAGGCTTGCTAGTGAAAAAGTTCGTACTCAGTAGTTTTTGATCGGTACCATTTCAAATATGGAAAGTGAAAAGCTACGTTTTCGGCCCATTTGACTTTTTACTGTCGAAAAGGTAAAAATACTGCACAAGGAAAAAAAATTATTCGATGTGTATGGGGATGATGTTTCGTCAGAACGCCAGTGCCAAAACTGGTTTAAAAAATTTCGATCCGGCGATTTGAAGGTGCACCATGTTCTAGAAGGCCAGTTGAAGCTGATGGTAACATAATAAAGTTATTAATTGAAGCAAACCGGCGATACCTAAAAGTTATACATATATTAACCTACTTAAAAATTAAAATTGTTTTATATTAATTAAAATTGTTGAGTTGTAATGTGATCAAAATAATGGAAGTAAGAAAATGGTCCAATGGGTGTTTAAAGGTGAACCCGCTCTCAGACTCGGACGGACCGGGCCAAAAAAATTTCATATTTTACTTAATTCTTGTTTTTTTTTGTATTTTATGGGAATAACGTGATTTATACAAAAAAGAAAGTATAATAAAAACGTTTTTCCCCTAATTTTATATAATAGTATAACATTAGTGCTAAAAGTGAAGTAATAAAGTCGTTTAAATATGAGGATACCACATTTTCGTTAAAAAAACAATAATTTCGCTACAAAAGTAAATAAAAACACACAAAACTACGTGCAAATATTAAAGATGATTCACATTTCTCGATAGTCTGATGTTTTTAGCCTTAGTAAACAAGAATACTAAACACGAGATAAAATGAACAAGCACTGAATTAGCGCGATTTATTTGACGATTTTCGACTGGCAAATCATCAAATCCGTCAACAAATTACAGATTAAAAATTATTTGTTGTCTAGCTTTGTCTATCAACAAGCCTTTCCATAAATATGATGATTATGTTTTCTTTTATGAACAGGTTACAACACCGGCAACACAGTGAATTCAGGCTGAGACAAATTTGAGATACGACAGTTTTAAGACAGACTAACGCTTTACAAAATATATGGAGACGCGCAGACTTCAAACAAAACGTCTCACAGACAGTATTGTCTAATGCCTACAAAAACTGCTCCGCGACAAGTCTGACTAACGGCTGTCGGCTTCCCTTTTGTAAGTATCGGGCGCGCGCATCAACAACAGAACAGTCTGGCGAGATACGAGGGGTATGTCGCCAGACTGTCTTCTAGTCTCGTCCGAGCGTTCAGGCACGACAAAGAACTCGTAGAAAAACTAATTGACGAGGTTGAAAAGAGACCTGTACTTTTCAATAAATTATGTACGGAATATTATGATGTCAATTTAAAAAAAAACAAATGGGACGAGGTCACAATGCAACTATTGTGAGGTGGGGAGAAATGTCGACTGAAGAAAAAACAAATGCATGTAAGTATAAGTAATCGTAATTGCATTTATTAAGTATATTAATATGTACGCATATGTATATAGTATATATATACTAATTTAATAAAAATGAATCGCCAAAATGTATGTACGTAACGTATATATTTTTCGAACTACTGCACCAAATTGGATAATAGTAGATTACAATGCAACGATTTCAGCTTTTTTATCGCAACTTTTTTTCACGTTGACAGCTATTGACGTCCTCTGATTGGTCAAATAGCTGTCAAAGTTAAAAAAGCTGCGATTAAAAGCTAAAATGTTTGCATTGTTAATCCACCATAGTTCTTTTTTTTTTTTGGTGTTCGTTATTGTCAGATGATTTGTATGGTAGGTAGGTAGGTGTAGGGTAGGTTGGTAGGTATAGGATAGGTAGGTGAAGGGTAGGTAGGTGGTTGGTAAAATATTTATGTGTATGTTAGGTGTAGAACACCACGCGAACGCCAGCTAGACTATTAACTATATTCTTTCATATTGCCATGGCAAGGAACATGGGGGCTAACAAAATAACTACACAAATACTGTCTTATATCATCGCCAGATGACATAGCAGAGCTATTACTGTTATAATCAGTCAGTGGACAATTGTAAACGGTATCTGTAAACTCTATTCCGTCATGAACACGAACGTAACTATGAAGATACAACAGGCTTTGATTATACTCTCACAACAGTCCCTGTTAACGTCTAAAGGTCTGTGTAAAATGCGCCATTTATTGGCTAAGATGCCGAAAGTACATTGGAGGAATCGGCGAGTTCTAGTAAGACGTTAATTAAATACTTTAACTATGTTCAAATCCCTTTTAGCGTACGGCCGTAATATGTTTTTGGATAATCCAAATGCTTCACCACTAATTATATAATATGGCAGGATCCGACCACTTTCGTCACCTCGTAGCGTATTTCCTGAGGGAAAACGATTGGAACAGGGGAATTTGAACATTCAAAGTCACCTGTTCCAAGCGTTTTTCCATAATAGAATTCTTAAAAATCGAATCTGATGATGATCCATATGAACCGATGTCTACAAATACGAATTTGCAATCGCGATCTACCAACACCATCAATACCACAGAAAAATATTTTTTATAATTGAAATCTTTCGAGCCCGCATTAGGTTTTTCTATCCAGATGTATAGTTGCCGACACGAGTCGTGAGCACAGATAAACTGTGGTGGGAGGTAGGTACACTGTCGGGCAAAATTATTGGGTACCTTTATTATTTCAATTCGTAATTGTATATTTTCGCCGACTTTTATGAAAATGTTTACTCGAACACATCAACTTTTACTTTGATACAGTAATGTTGCAGATATTCGTGTCCATTATTTTATTATCTACTATAAAGTATTTAATGTATACCTGGTGGTTAGAATTGATTATTTTATTAAGAAGAAGGAAGAGGTGATATGCCTTCCATAAAATCTGGTGTTGCGGTGCGCCGTACAGTAGCTACTGAGTCATTACTCACCTCAGCAGTCTGTTTATATACGTCTATGATGTTTTTCGCAGTACCTAATTTTTTCATGTAACTAAACACCGAATAGACCATTTGTCGGGATTGTCTATTTAACACCTAATTCTTCCTTCTCTGCATATTTAGACCAAAATCTGAACACTCAAATTATAACAACAAAAATAATTAAAAACAAGAAATAACAAAAACAATTAATAACAAAGAATACATAAACAACAATTAACAACGAGGTAACAAAAACAATTAACGAAAATAAACTAATTAAAAAAGTTATCACTAAAATTATTGCTCTGAAGTGTACGGAAGCCGAATGATACGTTCGAAACCAATAGACGACTAGAATTGACTGATGAACCAATCACGTTGAACGTCAGCGTGGTCAACGTCGTATCGACCAATAAAAAGTGTGCTCACAACTTATGTCGGCAATTATACTTTCCGTCTATGGCGCCAATAACGTTAGGAAAAGCAGCTCTAATATTGAACTGTTTTGCTATTTTTATCCAATCCCCTTTTTTCAGCCATGTACAAAGGCTGTAAAACGCACCATAGCTTATCGCAAGTCACCTTAATTATAATTCTCAATGTTGACGGTGCAATGAGATAGTCAAGTAAGAGGTCATAAAAACTTTATTGTGCTGCCTAAATATCTGTAACAAACAACATTATTATATCTTTTCAGGTAAAGAAGCGCAAAAACGCTGGCTAAATTTACGGAATTGTTTTTCTAGAGAGTTAAGACTACAACGAGCGACCAAGTCGGGGCATAGCCCAGAGGAGAGAACCTATTTATAGTTTGAACGGCTGATGTTTCTATTGCCTACCATAGATTCAAGGGAAACTGCAAGTAACGTAAGAACTGAAAGCGATGATGGCGACCACAGAAATCGTAATAATAAGACAATAGAAGTCGCATAGACGCGTGACCTTGTCGCTGCTATTATGTGTTGACGAACAGGATTCACCATTTTGTGATTTAGTAGCGCGGGGAACTTCGTACGTGAATTTATGTTATTATAATGGTGAAATGCAGCATAATAATAAAAAAGTAGTAAATACTCATCAAGGACGTGTAATTTAACTAATAAAGCCATAAAATTTCATGGGTAAGTTGAATATTTACTAATACATCTAGATGAATACTTTACTATGATATTAACCTTTGTAAACTTTTATTTATTACTTTTTGTATTGACAATTACCATTGCTGCTTTTGTTCTACCGTAATACGCGACGTTGACAAATTCGCCAAGCAATGTAATGTGAAACATTAGATATTGTGTATTGCGTATGTTTATAATACGACTGCAGGTGGCGACATCGGTTTTGAAAGTAATCGAGCGCTAATTCATTTCTATTGTCTTTTTATTACTATATCTGTGATGGCGACGGTACGGATTCTATACCGAGCGAATGCGCCCTCCACGTCCTTCGCCTAACAATAATAAGTCATTTGAACAGTCTCTATTAAATATGTTGGAGAGAAATATTAATGTTCAACGGAATGAAACAACTGTAAATGATGAAGATCACAACTTTGCGTTGTCGCTGCTACCACGCTACTTACGCTGCAACGACTTAGTGTTTATAATAAAATAGATGTAAAAATGCAAATTTTAAATATATTTAAAGAAAAATGTGCCCCACAACATGATTTGCGCAAAATACGTATAATAAACCAGCAAATAATACCTCCAAAGCCGATGACCAATCCGCGGCGTGGACCACTGCAAGCGATCTCGCCTGGGTCTTCTCAAACACAACATGCAAAACTTCAACACCGGATGCAGGCACCATCAAGCATATATACATTCACCTTCGACAGCGATCTCACCTGGGCCTTCTCAAACACACCATTACCTGAAGACCGGATCTAGGCAACTCCATCACGACGTCACATATCTTAAGAACTATCCAGTGCACATTTCGCCGCTTGTGGCGAGGACATCATGGAGTAAAAAAGATGAAGCAATTCGAAGGACGATATTCATAAAAAACTCATAAACGTTTTGTTTATTTAATATTATCCGCATGTGTCAACCCTAACAAACAGAGATGTGAATCATTTGGAATACATGTATTTTAAATACAAATACAAAATGCAAAATACCTATTTTTATTTTACATTTTAAATACTTTTTTCGAAATGTATTTAGTATTTTATTTGAAATACTTTATATAATATATTTAGTATAGTAAAATACATAATAGTTTTGTTACATTTTTAATTCATAAATAAAAAATACTTTATTTATGAACGCACTGATTGTGATCCTAAATGTTGTCACCATTGTCACCAAAAATAATAATGCCAATGTCATTTGTCATGTCAATGAATCAGTGAATGGCGTAAATCGAACTGTCTTTGTGAGAACTGTTTGTGTAGATTATTTTGTTTTCATTGTGATTTTGCTCCGTTTTCTTCACTTGCTGGATGTAAATAAATAAAATGTAAGCAATACATCACTTTTATAAGTTGTTTTTAACTAAGCATCAAGTAGTTAACCATCATGATATTGTATTGTTATTTCTAGTAGTCTAACCTAAAATAAAATTGATTTAACCGTTATTGTTTATTGACTAGCGTTTTAGTTGGGCAGAATATAATATCGCATTGTTCGTTCCCATTATATGTTATTGTTTAATTTATGGTCTTACGTTTTTTATTGACAATAAAACATTTACAAACCGTAAATCTATTATTTATTTTACATGAGTGATATAAAACATTTTACTTTTTCCAGGGACAAGAACATTCCACATATTAAAACACTTCTTCAAAGACATTACAAATGATCTTGGAAGCGACACAAATATCTCTGCAACTTGCCAAACGTGTTTGAAAACAATAAAAGGAAGTTTGAATGCTACAACTAACTTTTTGAACCATATAAAAGTACGTAAAACTAAAAATTCATTTATAAAATATAAATGAATTTTTAGTTTTACGTACTTTTTTATTTTATAAATTAAGATTTATTTCGATTGCATAACTAATTGACTAATAAAATAATAGGATTTTAATCAATATTAAATAATATAATCGCAGACATTCTATGCTTCATACATTAAGCTATTAATTATACTTTTGCAGAGAAAAGGACATGCTGATCTTTTAGCAGAGTATGAGAAACTCAAAATTCAACATAACAAGAAGAGAAAATGTGTTGGTGATGCTAGTGAGAAGTCCACTTCTAAAATAATGAAACAATTAACTCTTCCAGCCACCTTACCAAAGCCAGTTAATTTCGACAGGTTACTTGTGAATTTTTTGGGTACCATGTCACCCATATCAATTGTAGAAAATGAATTCTTTAAGGCTCTTATTGAGGGTGCACAACAGTTAACTGTTCCACCGAAAATTATATGCCGGCAAACATGTAATACAAAAATTGCAGAACGGTACAACGAATAAGTAGAAAATACAAAAGAACAATTGAAAAAGTTGATTTTATATGTACTACGGCTGATGTATGGTCATCATCTAAAAGAAGCTATCTTGGTGTAACTGCTCATTGGATTGATTGTGATACATTTGATCGAAAAAGTGTAACTTTGGCTTGTAGGAGGTTTAAGGGAACACATAGTTATGATAAAGTGGCCGAGCTGATTGCGGAGATTCATTCTGAATTTGATTTGAAACTTTCAAAAATAATAAACACTATTACAGACAATGGATCAAATATGGTCAAAGCTTTTAAGATATATGGACAAGATTCAGGTACAGAATTAAGTGAAAGAGAAATTGAAGTTATGCATGATAATGGTGATGATGATGATGATAATGTGTTAACCCTAACACAATTTCCGGAGTCATCTGATGAATTTGAAGAGGTGCAACTGCCTAATCATGAAAGGTGTGCCACACACACATTACATTTGATAGCTTCAAAAGATATGGATAAGGCTATATCCCAAAGTAATTCATACAAAAACTTTTATGATACAGCCATGGCAAAATGTCAAGCAGTTTGGAATCTATGTTCAAGGTCTCCGAAAGCCTGTGAAATCTATCTAGAATCAACTGGAAAATCCCCTACTTCTCCATGTCCAACACGATGGAATTCATATTATAATTGCATTCAAGATCTACTAGCAGTAAAGGATACCCTAAACGAAACTTTAAAAAAACTACAATTGGTAATTTTTAAAGAAATTGAAATCAAATTTCTTCATGAATACATAAGCTGTTCAAAGCCTATTGCTGAGGGCATCAGAAGTTTAGAAGGTGACAAAAATACTTATTACGGATGTCTTATACCAGAACTTATGAGAATGCAAAGATTTCTAAGCAGTTTGCAAATGGATAACCCTACATACTGTGATGTATTGATAGAAGTTGTTAAAGAAAGTCTTAATAGACGTTTTGAGAGGTTTTATAAATTAGAGGAGCCAAAAGAAAAAATTGGCATAATAGCATCTGTGTCTTATCCCTTTTTCAAAATGAAATGGGTGCCAAAAGCCAACAGAGAATACATTAAAGAAGTATTTGTTTCAGAAGTGAGAAAGATAAAACAAGAACGTGAAAAGAGTTCCCAAGTCCAACAAACTGACTTTAATAAAAAGAAGGAGAGAGCAGAATCGTATTATATGTTTGTTGAGGACTCTGATTCTTCAGCAGCCAGTAATAATGCCAATACTACAATAGATTTGGAAGCACTACAATATTTAAAAGATGAAGACAATACTTTAGAACCCTTGAACAAATTTCCAAATGTAAAAAAACTCTTCCTCAAATATAATACCTGCTTACAAAGTTCTGCACCTGTTGACCGACTATTTTCATTCGGTGGAATTATTATGAGGCCCCATAAACGTAACATGAAAGATGAACTATTTGAACAAATACTAGTATTAAAATCAGTTAAATAATTAATAAGGTATTTTATTTGGAAAACCTATTTTGAAATACGTATTTTGCATTTTGTATTTAAATACTTTTATTTAAAACTATTTTGTATTTTTATTTTAAATACTAATGTACCAATGCATTTGCATTTTGTATTTAAATACTTTTAATAAACCATTTTTAACATCTCTGCTAACAAATCAGGTACGCTCCTTAGAAGCTTTGCCTCTGGTCGGATTCTTTACTCATTAGGCTAAAGTAACTTTTTTTTTGTAAAGAGTTCACTTAAAATATGTATAAAATAAATATATAATAAGAATGGGACATGGCATGACATTTCAATTATTTTTCATTGAATAATTAAAACCTCCTTTTAAACAAGTTGAATTTACATTATTTCTAAAAACACTATTTAACTAAAATGCACACGAATTTTACTTCTAGATTTTAAAACATTGACAATGCTTTGTGGGAACGCTTTAAGAAGTGTTGTATTAAGACTGTAATCGATTTTTATCAATTGTTGTGTGATTCATAAGAATGGATGAACAACAACAACCTTTAGAAACAAAATCAACAGTACACAACCTAGTAAAAAACGACAACTTAAACTCCAGAAAATTTCAATACAAATCCTTAAGCAGTTAAGATCACGAGCTTTTTCCTGTAATAATAATAATAATTTCCTCCAGACTGAATTTCGGTCACGGCGGCCAGCCTCAACGGGGACTAGCCAACGGCGCAGGACGGGTTTATAGCGCCCAAGTGTATGCGCAAGCACAAATGCACTCTCTATTCCCTCACTCTCATAATCCGATGGGACGGTAACCGACACGACCGAAGAGAAATCAGGCGCAGGGACAACGGCTTTACGTGCTTTCCGAGACACGGGGGTGAGACACCGCCAACTTCCTGACTCCGGGCAGCTACAGAGAATTTCTTAACGGAAAAACTCAATAATTGATTTTTTGGCCCGATTCGGGATTCGAACCCAGGACTTCATGATCAGCAGTTGCACTAATACAACCACTAGACCAACGAAGCAGTTCCTGTTTCCAGTTCTCCTGTAATAATCAAATAATAAAATGATTAGATAGCTCAATAACGGACGGAACTACGAGTAAGTACACAAATTTGACTGGAGATTGAACCAACTGTTCTGGAGATTTTTTAAGAAGGCAATTCTACGTTTTTCACTCGCTACTGCTTAACTACAATCTCACTTAGTGGTAGCAGTGATGTAGCCATACGTGGTAATCGCAATAATGCTAAATAACAAAAGCCAATTTACTAATTAAGACGCACGTTTAAATCGGAGGGAAAGACAAATGCTGTTAAGCTACTGCATATAATGTATGTTATAGGATACAGAATGGCTTTTTTACCTGCGCCTGTGCTATAGACATTCAATATTGATTTCAACCAAATCAGGGTTACCAATAAGCCGCTTAGCGCGCCTTTCCACTGCGTTGAAAGCTAAGCGACTTGAGAATTACATACGGTAAGAAGCTGCCCCGGCGTTTTATACCGTCCTTTGCACCTTTGCAAGTGCAGTTAGCTACCTTGCGGCTACTTTGGTTGCGCTAAACTCCAAAAACAGATAATAAAAAAAGCATTTCTAGTTTAAAAAATTAACATATGATTAGCCGAAAATTTACGTTTAGTTTTGTATGTAGGCTAATGTTATTTTTATTTATCTTTAGCCACATCTATATATATATATATATATATATATATATATATATATATATATATATATATATATATATATATATATATATATATATATATATATATACGGCCCATACTGTCCGTGTGTATGGGGCCGTGTAGGGTATGTATTTGAACTCCTCAACGGATTTCAAATACATACCCTACACGGCCAACGGAAGTTTTCTTAGATTTGCAAAAAGCATTTGATACAGTATCCATTCCTGTCCTTATAACCCGTCTTCAGAATTTTGGCATTTGAGGAATAGCATTGGACTGGTTTATTGATTACCTCTTCAACAGGAACCAAAAAGTACGTATTGATGACTGCCTCAGTGACACTGCTATCTGCTCATATGGAATTCCGCAGGGCAGTACACTGGGACCACCCCTTTTTGGCGTACATTAACGACTTGTGTCACTTAAATATTCGTGCTGCAGACCTTTTCATGTTTGCAGATGATACAGTCTTACTCTTTCATGGTCCAAGTTGGGATGCTGTTAAAAAATCTACTGAGGAAGGACTGTGTAAGGTTACTAGTTGGCTGGAAGATAACCTACTTACATTAAACACCACTAAAACAAAATTTCTATGTTTTTCAAAAACCGCTGCTTGCAATCCATGAAACGAATTTAAAATAATAATTCACACGCATCCTTGTAACAGAAACTTTAACACTCATTCGGCATGTGAGTGTCCCACTATATACATGTGTAAAGCTGACACAATTCGATATCTCGGTATAATAGTTGATGATAAGCTTAATTGGGCTCCACATATTTCATTTATATCTAACAAAATCAGAAAGTTTATCTATGCCTTTAAGAATTTAAAAACAGTTGCAAACAGAAATCTACTACTACAAACGTACAAAGCGTTGTGCCAGAGCGTTATCAGTTATTGCATATGTTCTTGGGGATGCGCTGCTAAAACACATCTTATAGAATTAGAGCGAGCTCAAAGGGCTGTACTAAAAGTAATACTTTCACTTCCTTATAGATATTCGACAGAAATGGTATATAAGTTAACTGATGTACTAAGTGTTCGCAAATTATTCATATATCAATGTCTTAGACGCTTTCATAGATGTAGTATTATAACCGTACGTATAAATATCCCCAAAGTTAAATCCATATTCGGCAAAAGGAATTATAATTACTTAGCTCCCAAGTTATATAATATTCTAAATAAAACAGTGTGCACAAGGCTTCAAATCATACATTTAAAAGTATGTTATATAATTGGCTTAAAGAATGTGACTATGATAAATGCGAAAATTTAATAGCTCCATATGAATAACTTTATGTGCAGTGCAACAAACACGCTACTCACTCACACACATACACTCACACTCACACACACACACGCGCGCCACACACACACACACACACACACACACACACACACACACACACACACACACACACACACACACACACACACACGCACGCACGCACGCACGCGCGCACACACACACACACACACACACACACACACACACACACACACACATGTATATAGTGTTAACTGTGTATTAAATATATATCAACATTTCTCTAATGTATTTTGACACAAAGAGTTACTGAATGGGAAGGAACTGACTCCTGAAATACAGGGTATCCTAGTTTGGGAGTCAGGGCTCAATGATGTTGTATGAAATTATAAGTGTCAAATAAAGAAATTATTATTATTATTATTTCTAGTTTAAAAAATTAACATATGATTAGCCGAAAATTTACGTTTAGTTTTGTATGTAGGCTAATGTCTTTATATATATATATATATATATATATATATATATATATATATATATATATATATATATATATATATATATAAAGTAGAGTTACAGCCTATATACGTCCCACTGCTGGGCTCAGGAGGCCTCCCCTCATTTCTGAGAGGGTTTAGGGCAAGGAAGTGTCCGCTGCGCAGCCCAAATGCGTGTTGACGAACTTCACATATCTTCGAAATATTTTTTTTTCTTATTCCTCAGACATGCAGGTTTCTTCACGATGTTTTCCTTCACCGCCGAGCACGTGGTAAATCAGCACTTAAAATTGCAATTAACAATTTCATTGGTGCCGGCGGGGATCGAACCCGGGTTACTCGCGTTATGTTATATTTACAGCGATCGTTAACCACTGAGCTACCACGGCTCTGTGCGTATATATATATATATATATATATATATATATATAATTCTACTGACCGTGTGTATGGGGCCGTGTAGGGTATATATTTGAACTCCTCAACGGATTGACCGATTTTGATGAAATTTTGTGTACAATTGGACCCGGTAGGTGGCGCTGTTGTGTGGTATAGTATGTAGAGATACAGAAATCACCGATTTGTTTTTATTATACAGCTGGCAACAAACAAATCGGCTAAATAACAGAAGAATAACCTAAGAAAAGTTTTGGTGAAACTTGACCGTGGGGTATTGCTGTCCAAGTAACAATAATGTTTTTAGTGACTTTTTATTTATACAAGTGGTAAAATTGTAAAAAAAATTATAATTTATATTTTTATATTGATTCCAAAACGGAAAACATAAAATATCTTATTTGTATGTTAGCTATGGAATTTTACTCGACAGTTACTTATATTTGATTTTTTGGGTCATCAGAGTGGCAGTATTCTATAATGATTCAGGGTGTGATACTAGCATTTTTTACTCGCAAACCGATGACTGCATGAACCACTCCAATCTCCAACATCTTCTCTATCGGTCAATCCAATCTCAACTCAATTTCTCACAATTTATTTAAGCAATAGTGTCCTGAATATTTTATATAATAATACTAGAAAGATATTTATGATTTTAAAATCATTTTAGGTTACTTGAGAATGAGATCGCTATTTTAAACAATATATATAGATAAAATAATAAATCATACTAAAAATAACATAGGAAACTAAAATAAACATTCGCCATGTAGAGGCCCTATATAAGAAAATCATCTACCCCGTATCATCCCGTGAGTCTCGTAAGTGGCAACAGTGGGCGATTAGAAGAGAAAAACGGGAGCAAGAACTTCCTGAAAAAAAAACTAAAATTAATAAAAACTGAGTTAGCCCAACTATGGTCAATATACCCCTATAAGAAAAGTTTGGACGATGATGATGATGATGAAATAAACAGAAACTACCGTAAAGTAAATGACGTGTGCATTTTTTAATAATTACATGAATTATAAGATAAGCTCTCTTTTATTTTGCTCAGAACTGTAACATAAAAAACCTATCCAAAATAAAAATGAAGTGCCAGGAGTTAAGTCAAAAAGATTTTTTTAATTACTAACTTAACACATTTTTAATTTAAAAAATAAAATAATCATGGAGCATTGAGAAAATTAATGTGTAGGAATTCTTTTTATTTTTTACATTTTAGTAAATGTTGTGGTTTTTTGAACCTTAATAACCTAAACCTAATAAACCTTATAAATAATAATAGTACAAAGCTGTAGAGCTTGAAATGTTAATTTAAATTCATGGATTGATTAAGAATGAATTACATATTTTGTGGTGTTATTCATCT